CACATTCGTCTTTCTGATTTGCGTAGTTTTGTTCAAAATGTACCTCAGCATGACCTTTAGTATACTCTTGAAAAAATAAGGGAGGAAGGAGGGCGGAGGGTGTCGTTGGATTTCTCTCTTTTCTGGTGGAGAGATCATGTCAGTTTGTTAGTGTTTGAGCGCTTAATCAGCTGCTTGCACTGTATGCTTCACGGGAAGCTGAGAACGTTTCGGAGTGTTCTATGGTCTGCTGGGGTAATAATATAATATAGTGTAAAGCGCATAGAGCCTGCTGTTGAGCGGGGATATGCGCTATACAAATGCTATCTATCTATTATCTATTATTATTATTATTAATGTTTCGTGTATTTTTTTGTTTTCATTTCTTTTTTTCTTGGAAAGGGGGGTGGGGGGTAACATTTTCTGCTCTTTATTAAAGCTTCAGGGAAAAAAAGGAGATGTAACTGATTGTCCTCACACACTTGCATGTCATGTTACGTAAGCTCCTAATCCCTGGTCCTTGCACAGGTCGTGACGAGACATAAGAAGAAAGTTGTGTAGTTGTGGGGAGTTTTCAGACAGAGAGAAGAACTACAGGCCAATAGGCCATGTATCTCCCCCACACACAACAAGTCTGAGGCGACGTGCTCACGTGTGTATCTCCACCACACACATACACAACATCTCTGAGCTGACGTGACGACGTGGCGACGTGACGAAGTGGCGACGTGGCAAAGAAGCCAGGTGAGGCCCGCTGGGAATTCCTCTGGCTGAACATTAATCTGCACTCACGCCCCACCTGTATAATTTGTCGCATTAATTGTGCCGGTAATGAAAGCGGACTGCACCTGGGAAATTCCTCCCGAGTAGTTTGCACGCTTGCCACATTGTATATCGCTTTGTAATGTTCTTTTTGTTGGTGGTGGGGTTGTTGTTTTTTTGCTAATGTGGTGGTGGTCGTTGTTGTCGTTGCTGCTGTGGTTGTAGTTGATGTTGTTGTTGTTGTTACTGATGTTGTTGTTGTTGTTGTTGTTGTTGTTGTTGTTGTTGGTGGTGGTGGTGGTGGGATTGTTTGAAGGGGGGCGGGGGTTGTTGGTTGTTGTTGTTATATTTTGGGTTCTTTTAAGGGGGGAGGGGGGGGTTGCTTAATGTTTTCTGAGAGTGTAATGAATTCCAAAGTGCAGTTGTAGTTTTAATCGCTTTACATCCCTGTATGACCTTATGCAGTTGCGAGTGCCGTAAAACCTTACCAAAACTAAAATCCCCATCGATCCAATTAATAACCAACTAAGAGGCGGTTTACTTCTATCCTGCAAGTCAGAACCAATCCTCAACAAGACGTCTTAGATACTCAATCAACATCAACACCCAATGATAAGTTCCCAAGTTGGGAATCCAAACCACATCCCCCCTTCTCTCTCTCTCTCTCTGTCTCTCTGTTTTCCTCTCCCTTTCTCTCTCTCCCCACCTCTCTCTCCCTTTCTATAGCTCTTTTTTTCTCTCTCCCCCCTCTCTCTCTCTCTCTCTCTCTCTCTCTCTCTCTCTCTCTCTCTCTCTCTC